TATCACGTTATAACGTGATAGCGCTCGAAATTTTTTTTCCCTGCGTGATAGCAATACGCTTCCGTATATTCTTGTTAACTTTGCACTTAAAGAAAAAAAACACTTCTTCCTTTCACTCAACTTTCCAGTAATATTCTTGGTCCCATAATCATGAGGATTGTAACATAACGTTTCTGTATTAAATATCCTTTTTTATTGGTTTTGTCCAACATTTGAGGAACATTTGAAATATCACAATATGTGTTCACTTTTAGAAATGAATTATTGACAAAAACTTAATTTTTAAAGGATACGTTGTTTTAGTGAGGTGTATTTCAGCTGTAATGCGGTCAGAGACCTCCGTGTGATCGACTGTCCCACTCCGAACAGAACCAAGAAGCCGACCGCTGTGACGCGCTGCATGTGCCCGCTGTACGACCCCAACAGGCAGAAGTGGATCGAGCTGCAGCCGATGAGCCTGGCCCGTCTGGGCCACGGTGTGGTCGCCGCCGGTTAGTGCTCCATCGGAATCTGTTCCGGAACAGAAAGGCTTACGATGAATGGTTTTTAAAATTAAAATTAGTTCCGATGGATTAACTGAAATAATGATGTCCATCAGACCTTATTTTAGTGTTGTAGTTTGTCCGCCATCCAGCAGGGGGCGCCGCTGGTCATCTTTAAGCGGAGCCTTTGATACAAAAACAAAGATGGCGGAGGGATAGCAGAAACACTCCAAACAGAGTCAGTCGTCGGATGGAAAATGCACTTTATTCGGTTCTGTTTTAAAATATAGAATCTCGACAACCTCATTAAGTTAAGTTTCATATTAATAGCGCTCATTTAGCCGAGCTACACGATGGAGCAACGTCAACCTCTCATTCAAAGATGATTGTTGTGCTAGTGCTACGAAGACCAGGTGACAGATGTGGAGGAGATGACGCAGAAAAAATGTAACGTAAATGTAATGTAAATGTAATGGAAAAAGAAGATGATGCCAGTAAGCAATGTTGATTTTGAGGTCTGTCGTGAGTTAATGCACTTAATGAAGCGAAGTTTTAACATTCCTTCAGGAGTTAAAATGTTCTGTCTGAATATGTCTGTTCATGTGCAATTAAGTGTTTCACATATCGTCACCTTCCTGAAATAATGACCTAACTCATTTTTTTCTCCAAACAAAAAAAAAGGCCCTCGTAATAATACAAGAGAAAACTCCGCTTTTTAATTAACCGTCTGTCGATTAAATTAGATGGATTCATTAATCGATAACTTGCATCCTTAGAGCAGAGCAGCAGGTGGGTGGTTGATGAGGCTGTTTCCTGTGTCAGAGGGCTTCCTGTTTGTGATGGGGGGAACAGATGAAAACGGCACGATCCTGGACACTGGAGAGAAATACGACCCGGACTCCAACTCCTGGAGCCCCATCCCCCCGATGCTGCAGGTACCGATAGCTGCTCCTGGTTAATCTGAGAGACTATTCATCTACAAGCTGCATCGGTCTGTCTGCAGCTCTGTTTACAACCTACATAGACATCCAAACGGCTTGTTTTAGCACCTTGTGACCACAAGGTGTCAGTATTGCTTTTAAAATCAAATTGCAATAAAACGCGACAAACTCATTTTTGTCTAGTTTCTAGTGCAGGTATCTTGGTACAGATGAAAGTAAATTTTCCACCAAAATATATGAGTTTTTGGTGGCACTTTGTTTGAAGGTGTGTGCATGAGACTGATATCACACTGTCATGAACAGTTTGTTGTCATGAAGTGTCATTAAGTAAATAATGACATTTTAATGCAAAGTTAGCACTTTTAATGCAACTTTGCATTAAATGTTGCATTCAATTGTCAACTTTGTAGTAAAATCATTTATAAAAATTGATTCTAAAGTACTAGTTCTGCTTGCAGATTTTCTCACTTATAACAAGACATTTTCCCTTGTTATAAAGGAAGAAATCTGCTTGTAAAACTAGTCACTTTAAAGTCAATTTTAAGGAATTATTTACCTAAGACAAGTTTCCATAACTTGTTGAAAATTTACTGTTAAGTTAGTTTTGTCTTATTTCAACTGTATTAAGATGTTTGCTAGACACAAATTCTTGGTAAGATTACATGTTTTTGCACTGGTTCCTACTGACTTTAGTACCTTTTTCTTTCTGATTTGGTTAAGATGGGAGTCACAGCTTTCCCAGTTTTAAACACCGTATCTGATCTCAGGTCAGCCAGTAGTTTTTACACACACATACTGGCTTTAAATAAAACCTGTTTCCTGTCTGATGCTTGCAGCCTCGTCAGAACTTCGGCGTGGTGGAGGTGGATGGGCTGATCTACGTGCTGGGAGGAGAAACCGAAGACCTGGCGCTGACCGCGGTGGAGGTTTTCGACCCGCATTTCAGCACCTGGAAGATGCAGGCGAGCATGACGATGATGCGGAAGGTAACCGAGGAGAACTTTCCTTCTTTCCAACACTGATTCAGTTCTTTCAGATTCACTGACATTAAATTTTCCACATCAATACAAAAGATGCATAAGATCAAGAAAATGGCAAAACCTGTATTCTTTAATTTTGTTATTCATTGTGTTTCAATTGAATTACATGTAAAGGTAATGTGTATATACATATAATTACATTAAATTACCAAAGATAATTTATTGAACAGAATTTAAATATCAGCTTTGTTGAAGTTTCTGCATACAAACCAGGAATTTGACTTTGGTTCCACCTTATTCTCAATTTTAAATATGAATATGAAAAAGCAAAACTAAAAGACAAGGTTGAATTATTTACAATTTATAAAGTTTTAATAATTTAAAATGAACTTACACACAATAAAAATTTAAATAAGTAAATGAATAAGAAACAAATTAAGTAAAAATAATAAACATGACAATATATATATATATATATATATATATATACATACATATGTGTGTGTGTGTGTGAGTTTATTTTCACCTCCGTGACCTGCAGGGGGCGCTGTACAACCTCTGAAGAGTTCCTGAGAAAGGAAACATTGCTAATATTACTCTTTTAGCAAATCAAGTATTTAATACTTCTTAAATAAAAATAAGCAATTTATAGATTTTAGTGATTACAAAAAAATGTTCCACTGTCACTGGTTAAAAAAAAAAAATCCCACAAAAACGTCAGAGCTACAATGTGGCTTATTGACATTTTTTCTGTAATTTCTGGTTGAGAGTGTCATTTCTTATTCTTGCATCGACTGTCAGAAAGATGCTGTGCAGCAGCGGGACGGTCTCAGGGCCCTGTCAGCATATGTGTGGTGGCATCTTATCATATTTGTATTTTGTTTTCATATCTGTTTCCTTTACTTCTGTTCTCTGAACTTGTTGTTTCAGCTGAAGCTGCTCTTAGTGACGTCTCTTTTCTGTTTCTTTGTAATAAAAGGTAATTATTGTGACGGAACGGCTTCATGTTAAGACATCATGTTAACCGTTACCACAGACTGCTGCTGAGTTTTACAACCTTACTTGATAAAACTATGACCAACATGAAGTTGTAACACTTTCCTGTTATTTTGTTTATTTCTGAACCACTCAGAGGAGAACTAGACTTTAGACAGATTTTAACACGTTAACCCAATCAGGTTTATTTGAATATTACCTGTCAGCAACAAGGCAGTTCAAAGTGCTTTACACCATAAAAACTCAATTATAAAACATAAAAAAATCAAAGTCCAATAAACAATTGAGAAACAAACATTGCATTTTGATGAGTGCCATCGTCAAAATCATCAACACACGTTGAAAATGTTGGTCAGCGTTTCATTTACTACAATTCAAAAGCAAATCTGAACAGGTGGGTTTTAGTCTAGGTTTAAAGGCTTTCAGTGTTTCGGCTGTTTTGCAGTTTTCTGGAAGTTTGTTCCAGATTTGTGGAGCATAAACGCTGAATGCTGCTTCATCGGGGAAGCTAACTGCGCTAAATGCTTTCAAAGTTAGTTAAACAAAATCATTACCTCTGCTGCTAGCAGACGTAGCCCACCACTGCTGTTTTTGTATTTAGTTTAGTTTTTTTGGTATGTATGCTGCAGTTAAGTAAATAAAAGCACAGATTACATTTTCGCCCTTAGGTGGGATGCTACGCCTCGATGAATAAGAAGATCTACGCCATCGGCGGCGGCTCCTACGGAAAACTCTTTGACTCTGTGGAAAGCTTTGACCCGAAAACCCAGCAGTGGACGTGCCTGTGTCCCCTGAAGGAGAGACGGTAAGCGTGACCCTGTCAGGTGACCGTCTACACATCAGCCGTGACGCTGCGCGGAAGCACGAGTTGCTCAACAGGAAATGAAACAAGGCTTCTGTCGCAATCCTGGATGGGTTAGTGTTAGCTTGAGCCGCGCCGCGCCTCAGCCACGCTGACACATGATGCTGCTGCTGTCGAATCACGCTGCATTCAGCCTGGAAAACTCTTCTTCTTCTTCTCATCAGCTGTGGCGTTGATGCAAACCAGCGGCTGAACCAGAGTTTTGGGTTTCAATCATCATCAGATTCTTACCTATTCAAGCCGCTGAAGGTTGTTTTTCTCAGGGGTTTCTTTGAATAACCACGTCCCAGCTCATATCTGTGGTTTTCACGTTTCCTCCATAACCTGATTCACACACTTTTCATCTGCACTCCTCTCATTACCGGGGCTGAACTTTAAGGTCGTCTTGTTTTTAGTCACTCATCAGACCAGAAACTCATCACTTCAACTTTGAAATATCACATATTTAGAAAAGTTATTATATTTTTTTGAAGTAGGCTATGGTAACAAAGGTTCCTGGACTTTAGATTGTCCCTGAAATTATTGTGATTAACAATAAGATTGTTTTTTGAGCCCATTTTCAAGTAATATAGTGGTAATGGCATAAAAATGCAAGAAAACTTTCTCAAAGATCAGTAAATGTAAATTATAATCTACATTTGACACTTCTACATTTTAAATATCCGAAATAAACAAAACAGCCGAAACAACAAATGAAATCAACCATGAGGTTTCTATAAACAGACTGAAGACTTTTGTCATCCAGATTTTGGTTGAAAGAGAGAGGGAAAAAAAAACATGCAAATGAGAATTATTGAGCACTGTTTAATTTAACATGTGATTAATTGATTTATTGCTTGTTGCAACAGGCCCGTTTTGAAGTTTTACTGTGATCTGAGTTGTTAAACAAAAATGATTCATATCGGTTTAGTTTCTGTAACTTTTGCAATCAGAAATATTCAACCACTTATATTATCAGTTTTTATTCCAAGTCAGCTTGAGCTTTGATTGAATTCTTTGAGTTGAGAGAAACGGAAACTAAACAGGAAGTGCGAGATGTGGTATCTGCATGTGACTATTTGGTCAAGATAAGTCATGTCACAAGTGTCGGGTGTTTGGATTTCAACAAAAAATACATATTTTTGCCATTTTTCAGCTAATATTTGGACAGTATATCAATAAGTAGGCCTCATTTTCTGCTAGAGCTGATTTTAATAAATATTTTCTCACTTTCTTTTATAAAAATAGATTATAAATTACAGAAAATATTTTCGAAAAGTGGCTTTTCTTTCTATCTCCTGTAAGTTGAATGACAAAGTGTTAAGGCCATGATATGAGAAGCTTTAATTACAAGAATATAGTCATAATATTAGCAGAATAAAGACACTGTTTTACCTGAACAACATCTTAAAATTATGAGAAAAGTCAATTTCATTACAGTCTTGAAGATCTGATGTAGACCAGCTCAGTTCATGTGGTTTTCTTCTAAATAGACTCGATAGTTTGCACAATCCTTTCAAACTCATGATACTGATAATAGTTTGATTCTTTTGTGTTAAAATATTAAATATTTTTTTATTTGTAAAACTTATAACAAAGTATAACTCCACAAAATGTTAAATGTTACACAATTTTAATTTTGGGGTATTTCTTGTGTTGAAGTTCCCAGAAAACTACGACTTTTTCTTCTAATTTTACAACTTTATTCTGGTAATCTTAATGGTTTGTCCTCGTATTAATTTGACTTTATTCTTAAAATTAAAACTGTTGCCTCATCCTTATATTTTCTGGTAGAGTTGACCTGAATTTGAAGACCAAGTAAACATCATGGCGGCCCTTTGCACGCTGACATCACTCCGAACTACGGAAACCCAGAGTCCACTGATGAAAAGAAAAACAAAAATTAAATCCTTTAAAAGCCAAAAATTTGATTGATCAGATTTATCGCCCAATTTTTCTGCTTAGTGAATGGGAAATGTACTGTCAGCCATCTTTGAAAAATGGGACAATCAAAATCAAATGACCAAATAAAATTGTTAGCATGAACTCAAATGCATCTTCTGCCTAAAAAAAGTCCAGCAGAAAGCATCAGCATCCAGTTCAGACGCAAAGCAGCACCAAACACTGAGGAAGTGTGTGTACATTTCTGATCCTGAAAACATATATAAAAAAATCTATTTTTATTGTGGCATTTATCAAACAGAAATAACTTTGTTAAATATGGACTAAAAAAGGATAAGTTTGGTCTGATCTCATTTCAGACATTGAGAAAAATATTTTTGTCATTTTATTCAGTTTCAACTATGGAAAGATTTGGTTTGTTTTTGAAATTTCTGAACATTCGTAAAAACCAGGAAGTCATGTTAGATGCGTGTTGATATTTCTGTTTTATGACACACTTTGTCCCGCTCAGGTTCGGCTCGGTGGCCTGCGGCGTCGGTCAGGAGCTCTACGTGTTTGGCGGAGTCAGAAGCCAAGAGTGCGAAAACCCCGAGCAAAGACAGATGATGACCTGCAAGTCCGAGTTCTACCACGACGAGATGAGAAGGTCCAGTTTAAAAGCTTAATACAGCTTATGATTCATGATTTAATGCATTGAGGCGAGTCCAAAACATGACTGTGAAATGTCAGTTATTTCTTATTAAACAGAGGCGGTAAAAACGTTCAAATTTTCCCCTTTTTACACTGGAACTGAGAAAATAAGAAGCAGCAGCTAGGCGTCTGTAATTTAAGGCAGTGATTAAATCAGGGGTGTACAAACTTTTTCTGTTATTAGGGCTGTAGCATGTAACTATGGTAACAATATATTTTTTACATATTTGTTGAAACTGTCACTGTGTTCAGACAGTTTAATACGAGACAGATAATCTGTGAAAAGATCGAGCTTCTCTGCCTCCCAGCGCTACCTAGAAACAACCAATCACAGCCAGGAGGCGGGTCTTAATGCTGTCAATCAGTGTTGTGTACAAGCTGCTCATTGTGCCCACACAGTAGCTCACTGCTACGCGACTCCTAGCATAGCCTGTCATGAATGCTAAGGCTAGTTAGCATAGCCTCCGAAGTAGGCGGATAAACGGTTTTATTCTAACTGTAAGTTGTTTTCAGGCAAAAGAAAATTTTTCCAAATCATTTTCTTTCAATTAAGAAAAACAAAACAAATTAAATTAGTTTCTACCCACCTCTGCTAACTGGGTTACGTTCTGAGCGTGAAAAGTTGACGTGTTTCCTGAACGTTGTGGTTCAGGTGGATGTTCCTTGACGATCAGAACCTGTGCATCCCGGCCAGCTCCTCCTTCGTCTACGGGGCGGTTCCGATCGGGGCCAGCATCTACGTGGTGGGAGACCTGGACACGGGTCAGTAAAAAGAACAGCACGCGGTGCTTTCCAGGTCGGTCGCATCGCTAACCTGCAGCTTTTTCTTCTTTTTTTTTTTGCGTGCGTAGGGACGAGCTTCGACTACATCCGGGAGTTTCGGCGCAGCACCGGGACGTGGTTCCGCACCAAGCCCATGTTCCCCAGCGACCTCTCCAAAACGGCCTGCGCCGCCCTACGCATCGCCAACTGTCGCCTGTTCCGCCTCCAGCTGACCCAGGGCATGTTCCCCATCAGGTTGTGATTCCTGGCACCCCACGGCTCACTGCTGCCCCCTGCCTCCTGATGAGGGTTAGAGCGTCACAGGAAACTACGCGTTGGGGATCGTGGACCTTTACCGTTTAACTTGACAAGACTAAAACTCATCAAAAGAAGTTTTTCATGGTGAAGGTTTTTTTCTCCTTTTTTTTTTTTTTAGGAATTTTTTAATATTTTCTATTTAACTTGGGACTTTATCTTTCTGTTCTTTACATTTGTTTTACATTTACTAATGGGTCGGGGAGAGATTGAACACTAATATCTAAAAAATTATGATGCTCACTTAATTTAGAGGAGATTTTTAAGGAACTTTCACCTGCAGCACAGGTCATCTTTTAGGATTTAAGTGATATTCCTAAAATGATTCACATATTTGATGGTAAACACTTTTAAACTAAATGTTAACATTTATTTAATTTGTTCTGGCTGAGGCTTGTTAAACTGGGCTGGAGATTTAAAGGTTGTGGTGCTTTTATTTTTATATGAAATATTTTAAAGTGATGCTTTTAATGCAGATTCACTCCAAAAATCCAGAGAATCACAAAATGTTGAGTCACTGGTTGCTATGGCGATTTCCCGCCTTTCCCAGAGAGCAGAGGATGCCAAATTTAACCCTCAAACAAAAGGCCACTGTATAAAAACTACGTGGTGTCAAAATCAATCATGATCCATGAATATCAGAACCTTCTGGTGGATAAATTTGTACATTTCTATAAATCTACAAGGTTTTAAAAAGAAGACATGGGAAATTAAAAAGAGAGCACAAAGATAACGGGAGTGAATGAGTGGTTTAATGCGAGTTCTGTGTGTTTTGGGGGAATTTGACAGAAAATTGTAATTCCTACAACAATGAGAGACACACTGGAGAAAGTAGAATGAAATATTTACGTTTCGATATATAAACTGTACATGTGGAGACAAATCTGTAGATGTAAAAGTGGTTTGAATAAAAAAACTTCAGGATAGGAATTCAGCCAAGCCTGATTTTAAATAACGTATCATTTTATTTATTGATTATGAGGCTTTTTTTTTTTCATTTCGAATCTATATTCTTTCTTACTTGAGCTGCTGATTTAGGACAGTTTTGTGATTTGAACCCAGCTTTATTCTATCAGGATTACATTCTTTTGTGGAGAGAAAATGTACCTGCCTCAAAGATATGTGGAGATGTGAGGCACTTTTGAAAGAAATTGATGGATTCCCAAAATATCTCGATGATAAATTTGTTTACGAAGGAAACACGTTTATCCAAAGTGTTTAAATGTGGGTATTTTTTTATTTGTGAAAGTGTTGGTGCTTCCTGCAGATAAAATGACGCTGTTTCCAGATGATGCATCCGGACAATTATGTGTGGACCTGATTATTGTGCAAACACACCATTTGTAGCGTTGTCACTTTTTATCATTCATAGTCACTGAGTCGTGAACATGTTTGATCAGTTTAACCTGCTGGATTTTCTGGAAGCTCCCAGAACTAGTTCCTCCGGAGGAAATCAGTTCCTGGAGGCGGAAAGCGAGTTTGGAGAGTCTCTCAGACGTCTCCTTTCTGAAAATGAATCGGAGTGGAACGACGTTGTTCCACAGCGCCAGATGTTTAGGATATTTGACTTTAATCTTTTGAACAACATTCAGTCAATGAAAAATAAAGTTAATTAAAAAAAACAGAAATTGATCCAGTTTCTGTAAGAAAACAACAGTGGTATGAAGGAGCACTTTGTGGCTCTCTCCACAGTCCAGTATTTACAGTAAATATACTGCACAGCATCACTGTTGTCTAAACACAGCCTCACGTTTGGTTGTTTGTGAGGAAATTCACAAAGTGCTGAAAACAAAACGCTCGTTTTGTTTTTGTTTGAACACAGACGTGTTCACATAAACATCACCTACTAAACCTACTGCTTTGTTATCCATCCATATGATAGCAGCTTAGCTATTATATGGGGTAAGTAAATATTAGTCAACATGCTAGTTATAACCCTTACGAATGGTAGCAGTTAACACTAGCATTTCAGCTGATTTCAATATAAAAAACTACTCTATACTAAACTGATTAAATCCATGTTGGTCAACATGCTAGTGTTACCTCACAAGTCTCAACCGGAAGTGATCCGCGCCATCTTTGTAGGCAAGCACAGCGCAAAGCCTGGAGAACCATGACTTTGAAACCAGCAAAAACAAAATCTTTGCTGTGGGGATCGACCCCTATGAGTCAAAAATGGAAACATGTCGAACGATGTTGGCAAGCTGATCTACTATTATAGTTCACTGCTTAGTGAACATAAAGACGTAAACCATGGAGAAGAAATTCATGGATGCATTCTATCAATGTTTCAACGGCTTCGTAAAGGACATGCACACGAAGGGAGTCTTCATGTGAATAACAAGGTTCTGGTGGCTGGCAGAGTAAGTAGTAATACACGTCCGTCTTAGCTTCCAGATAAAAGCTACATTAGCTAAGCTAATTTTGCTAGTTCGGCAGTATTTCTCTCAGTATTACTCAGAGGCGGGTAGACTACTCAAAAAATTGTAACTGAGTGTTCAAATGTACTTATATTGTTCATAAGGTAGATAGGAACATTATCTACCCTATTGTCTAAGCTTAGATAAATTAGACAATATTGAGCTTAGATATTATCTAGTTCCATGGGCGTAGGTTTGGGTAGGGACGGTAGGGACATGTCCCGACCAATATTCACGGGATATGAAAAAGTCCCGACCAATTTTTGCCATATTGGCTCAAAGAACGTGGATCTACGATCTTTGATTAGCAGCAACAGGCGGTGCGCGGAACGGAAGCTTCTTAGTTTGACATTTATTATGAGCCTCCGGGCCGGTGTCGGAGGGGTGCTGTCGGGGTGGGGGGAGGGGGAGTCAGTTGAATCGTCGGACGTTCTTTGATTAGCTGCAAAAGGCGGCGGCTAGCTGGGCACACGCGTCTCCTTC